TATAATAATACACAAATCAATTATAATAAAATAATTATAATAAAATCAATTCTGTCCACTTTATAAAACTGGCAAAGAAGCAAGGCGAATAATGGACTTGGAGAGTTCTAGATAGATGTGAATATTTGTAGTCATGGGGCAGTCCCTCGACTCCTCTCTGGAACAAAACTGGGAATGAATGAATCAGACTCACCTGGGACTTACAAATTATGATCTTGCCCACTTGTTAAAACTCCGAGAGCTTCACTTTAAGTGGGTATGGCTTGCAGTCAAAAGTGTGGACTTTGGCATCATGATCAGTCCTTCTTACTTACTGGCTGTTTAACTTCAAAAAGATTTGAGTCTCATATTCCCATCTGTAAAACGGGAAAGAGCCTAATTGCTGCCTTATGGGGTTATTGTAAAGAGTCGTGAACATCACTAACGTAAAGTTTACAGCTCTGTGTCTGCTATATGGTAAATGGCCAGTATAATAATAATAACAAACATATATGGTAACTTTAATTATTCTCATTAGAAAATGAGATTATGCCTATAAAGCATCCTCCACAGCGTCTGGCACATAGCAGATGTTCAATAAATAAAGGTCCCACCTCCTCTCCTTCCTAAATGAATGATCCAGTCCATGCATTAAAAAACAAAAACAAGAACAAAAACAAAACTGGCCCAACTGTGTTTCCCGTTGAATAGAATAGCTGTTGTAATGTAGAGCCATAAAAGGTCCCCTGCCTTTTGAAAACTCTGGCCAACAGGGTCACCTCTTTCCTCCAGGAAAAAGGAATGCCCTTAAGGAACGAGCTGGGGAGAACAAGGATAGAAAATCACAACTGCACAGGGGGCCCCAGGGCGGTCTCCGCAGCCAGGACCCCTCCTCATCTTGTCCCAAAGGCAGTGACCCGCAGATTGGTTCCCCTGCCAGATCCTAAAATCTCATAGTCCCTCAAACATCCTTAAGTTAACATCTACAGTTTTCTTCCTAAGTTGAAATGATTTCAAGATATAACTTCAGAGTATTATAAATACTGACTCTTTAAATGAAAACATTACCTCTTGTTAAATGTATTCAATGGAATACACACATGCGATTTGATATCTGTCATCATCCACTTACAAAGCATATGAGTAAACTCTCCTTAACGTCAGGAAATTTTATTTCATTCTCTTTCTTAAACCCATCTTTCTCTTCTATGTCTCACAGAATTTTATTCTAATGTCATATGTTTTTATGCTTGATTATGTTTGATAGTCACCAAATATACATTTCTTAAATATTATGTATGAAATAATATTATATACACATGTAATATTATGTTTATGCCAGAAAAAAATTTATTTTTAATTATGGCAAAAAAAAACCCTCATAATGTTATTTACCATTTTAACTATTTTCTTTTTCTAGTGGGCTCCATACCCATCATGGGGCTTGAACTCACCACCCCCCGGGGTCAAGAGTTACTCGACCCACTGAGCCAGCCTAAGATGGCATCCTTCCATCTTAACCAGTTCTAAGTGTATAATTCAGCAGTGTTGAGTACACACACAATGTTGTGTATAATGAGAAATTTTAATATTAAAATATTTCCGTAAGGTTCAAATGTTAAAATTACTTCTTGAATGAGTGATCATTATAATTGTTGTAAGTGTACAAATAATCAAAATAACGTAAATATAACAATTTTTCCAATAAAAAATGAAATAGAAAAAATGTATTGGGATGTCATTTCTCAATGAAATGAACATGATTCTCCCAATTAGATAATAAATATTTCCTATTAGAGAATGAGAAGGGTGCAACATCACTTCTGTTCTTTTTGGAAAACTTATTTATTTCGTTTTGTCTTTACGGATGTGAACAGTGACGAATCTTGCTTATCTGAACAAACTGATAGGAACAGAAAATGTTCTGTTGTGATAACTTTACTAATGATTTGAACTCTCTTTGTGTTCAGTGCCCCAAATCACACAGTGACCCATCAACCAAAATGATTTTTTCCCTTCAATTTTGTTGACAGAAAAAAAATTTTTTTCCTAAAGGATCTGTTATCCATCATTAGAACTATTTACTTTCTCAATTTCTGGAATATCCAAAAAGCCTTTTCTAAAATGTATTCAATGACTTTTAATTACGTTTTATGTTTTTCACCTTGTCTAGTCCAACTCATGAAGACAGGGTTGGAAAATTAAAATATTGTTAATTTCATTCTACTTTCCCAATGCATTTTTTTAAAATAAAATGCTTTTATCTTATTACATGCTTAAGTACCTTTTTGTCAAATCTTAGAGCTCAGATTTAGCTCATTCAATTGATGGAAAATGCCTGTGCATAATCTATTTAGCAAAGCCAGTCTTCCTTGTCAAACCAGTTTGCAAATCAGACTTACTGCTCTAAGAAAAAGTCCGACTTATATTTTTAATTTAGATCAACATTACAGTGTATTTTGAGGAATATTATGAAAACCACTGTAAGAAGGATTACTTCTAATCTTGTAAAAAAGATTACTAAATGCAGTCGAGATAAAAATCACGAAAGATACAATGTAATTAATCTATTTTATGACAAGTTATAAAAGCAAAAATAAATCTATGTTTCTCGTCACTTAGTTTGCCATAACTCAATGTTATGGGCAGCCCAAATTGTAAGCTATTTATGAAACAAAAAACATGATGAAAGATATGGCAGTTTTTAGTAAGTATGTGTGTGGGTGTGTACTAAACTTTGGAGTTGGCTTTTGGGAATAATTAAATAAAAATCTTGTGTGAAAACACAGAACTACTTTAATTTTATTGGACCTTGAGATAAACTCTCCAACGCATTTATGAAAGAGAAAGGTATATATTGCTGACAATAAATGTGTCTAGCAGCTAGCATTTAGTTTTCTTTTTTGATTAATAGGAGGTGTAGGAGGAAAAGAATGTTTAAACATTTTATGAGATAAAATGGTCGCAGGATTGATTGTAATTGGAATACATATCTCGTTATTTGATAAAATAGATTTTAACTACCTTTTGAATAATGCATATTGCATTCAAAAGTAATCACATAAAATTTTTATCTGAGCGTTTTATCCAGTACAACTTGTCAAATTTAGTAGCCCCTGAAAACGTTTCAGTTGTGTTTAAAAGAATTAGCAAGCCTATGCTGGTTTGGCTTTTCAAAAAATTTTTTTTGGGGGGGGGGGTTCTTTTTAGTGTTGTTTATCAAGAAGAGCTGAAAAGGTTGTTTATGTTTAACATGGGGAGAGGGGCGGAGCATTCTTAGTCTTTATTATTCCTTACAGTGTTGTCTTTTCTTTCTTCTCCCCAGAACCTGTCAAGAGCAATGCTTTCTTTGACAGGACTTGAGGAATGCAGACATGTCATCCTTACAAGAAAATTGCCACGAGGCCCTCGGCCCGTTCTCTGTAATATATTAAAGACCTCTTCTATGAAAGCCCATGACTAAAAAAGGGGTGAAACAGGGAAGGAATGGAAGTCCGAAGGTGGGCTAATTGTGCTTTAATTCATCAATGGGGAGACCCACCCCCAAATAATATTTTTAAGTGTCCTTTTTGTTTGGTGCCCTGAAGGATTTTACATCCTAGGAGAGGACACCATGGTAAGGTTGGGAATGAGTAAGGGAAACACCTTTCTTTTGTAACATGGGAGAAGGGCAGTTAAAAAGGGGGCAGAGTGAGAAAAGGAAACCCACACACCAGGAAATAGGGTCTGTGGAATTTGAGAACATGCATTTGATAAAATTAGCCACATGGGCAATCCCATTGGAAAGTCCTATTGTATGGAATGTCTTTGTTCAGCTATATACCACACACACACACACACACACACTCACAACCTCACACTCATCGTATACTCCCGAACACTTTCATACAAGCCTTCAGGCTTGCAAATACTCTCGCACTCACACACACACATATACACTCAAGACTCACAAGAATGTATAAAGGTGTGTGAATGTGTGGTGAGTGTGTGTGCACGTGTTTGTACGGGTGGATGGTGGAGAAAGGGAGGGTGAGGCAAGAGGGAATCTTTAAAGGAGTATTAAAAGCATCTCAGTATCTCCTAGTGATGGGTGGGGACACACGAGATTATGCTTCTTCCTTCGACAGACACTGATTTGGTACACATGGGGTATGTTTGCTGCTGGGCTCAGTGCTGGAGTTTAATGGCAAGCAAGACAGACATGGTCCTTGCCCACGTGGAGCCTACAATCTTGGATTCAGATTGGAACACAGGTTTTAGCAACTGAGTGTGAGAGTTGCGACAGGGGCTGGGAGCACTGAGGAGGAGCACCTGGTCACAAGAGGCAATGCCCTTTCTGTCTGCTGGGCCTGACCAATGGGCATGGCGCTCCGGATGGAGAAGAAGGAAGCTGTGTTTGGCTGGTGCTAGCCAATATGGCAGCCACTAGCCGCACGTGGCCGTTGAGCACTTGAAAACGTGGCCAGTCCAAATTGATACTATAAGTTTAAAATACACATCAGATTTTAAAAAATAAATAAATTAATTAAATACACATCAGCTTTTGAAGACTTAGTCTGAAAAAAGAATGTAAACGATCTCAATATTTTCTTCTTGATTTACATGTTGAAGCCATAACATTTTGGGTAGACTGAGTTAAATAAAATACGTTGTTAATGATGCGATCGCCCATTTCTTTCCACTTTTTTCCAATGTGGCTGCTAGAAAACTTAAGAAGGCATAAGTGGCTTGCATTCTTCTGCCATTTTTCTATTGGTCAGTAGTCCCTGAGGCAATGAGAGTGGTCTGTGCAGAGGGTCAGAATGGGGTGAGAGTTCAGGTGTTTGGGGACTTGAATTGCTGAGCTTGGGGTTTGAGGGATGGTGGGTGAGAGCCGAGGCTGAAGAGGTTGTGGGCTGCAACAGAAAGGCTCTGGTGAGCCCTTTCAAAGCACCACTGAGGCAACAGAAAGGATTTTTAAGCAGGGATATGCCTTGAGCAGATTGAGGTGCACTAGTAATTCTCCTCTGGCTTCCTTGTAGAACGTGAAATGAGCAGTGAAGGCCAAACTAAAAACAGGAAGACCAGGCAGAAGATTCTAGCAGTGGCCCAGGTGAGAGAAGACAGTGGCCGGGCTTGGGAGTTCTCGTGTGGTTGGAGAGAAGTGAACCACTGATGGGAGTCCATTTATTACAGACACACAGGAATGTTTCAGCAAGGAATCCTACAAGAACCAGTCTCCGGTGTTTGTATCTGATAGTCATGGAATCCTCAAGCCACGGACTGATAGGGCAGGAGGGGAGCTTGGAGGTTACCTGGGCATTCTTCTTTAGGGCTTCTGATAGATGGGGCCATTTAATCCCAAACCCCAAAACCAGATGTGGTAGGTGCTTTGCTTCCTGGGCTGGAGAGAGGAGATTTTCTTAAACAGAAGCAGCTTGAGTGCACCCCAGGAAGCAGGCCACAAAGCCTACTGGGCCCATTGGGTGTGCCATCTCCAAAAAGCAGCTCTGGAGGTTGTTGTCCCACAGAGCATCTGGGCCAGTGGCTTTAGGTTCCCGTTCTGCAGTGGCCTGTGCTTTGGCTGATGCTTGTGCTTGGGGATTGATGGGTGCCTGTCAAGGCTGGCTCCTTGGCCCTGACCACTTTTCTAGCCCCCAGATAACAGCCCCTGGCATTCGTTAAACTTGACTCAGAAAATCAGACACTGCTCAGTGACTGTCCTTAACACAGTTTCCCAATTGCTTCTCCCATTGCTGATTTTTATTATTTTTAAAAATTTTTTAATTTTTATTTATTTTTGAGAGAGAGAGAGAGAGAGAGAGAGAGACAGAGCATGAGCAGGGGAAGGGCACAGAGAGGGAGACACAGAATCCGAAGCAGGCTCCGGGCTCTGAGCTGTCAGCACAGAGCCCAACGCAGGGACTGAACCCATGAAGCATGAGATCATGACCTGAGCTGACGTTAGACGCTCAACTGACTGAGCCACCCAGGTGCCCCCCCTGCCGTTGCTGATCTTGTTTACAACCCCCAACTTCTGATTCTTGATTTGTGATGCTGATTCTAATTACTCTGTCTCCTGCCTCAAAATCTTCCAGGAGGCCCCATGTACCAGAGATGGAAGCCAGCATTCCTTAGCAGACTATTCAAGGCTCTCCACCATCTGGTCCTCTTTCCTTCAGACCTCACCTCCCATTGTTCTTTCTAAGTCTCTAACCTTCTAATGATGCCAACCACCTGCTAGTTGCAGAACCCACCACACCTTGATTTGTTCTGTTTTCCACCTGCTGTTAGCTTCCCATTTTCTCTCCCTAGATGTAGTCTGTACAGTGTCCAGGGCCCAGGAAACACTATTGCCTTCTTGAAGCCTTCTCCGCTGTCTCTCGTAATTAATTCCACCTCCTCTGCTGTTCCACATATACCTCTGCTTAGCACCTGTCCTAGCCAGCCTTGGGTTATCACTTCTTGTTTACATGTTTTCTTACTATGCTCAGCTCCTTACAGGCAGGAACTCTGCTTCCTTTGTGCTTATTACCTAGGGGCATATAATAAATATTGGCTGAATGACTCGATGGAGGCCTTGGGATTGATAGCGTCCCTCTTTTAGTCTTGCACTGGGACCTGGAGCATTCATGGCAACTGGAGCAGGAAGCCGGGCTGGGACCAGGGTGAGGTGGGTGAGGAGTCTAGAGCATAAAATGTAAGTTGCTCTCAGTTGCTGACCTTGTGCTTGCCTGACCCTGGGAGCTAGTCCCTCTCAGGTGCCTCCCTTGCCTCACCCTCAGCCCTGGCAGGAAGGAAAGACTGGAGTCTTGGGATTCAGAATGAGTCCATCAAAAAGGACAGACCAGGTTCCATAGGGTCCAGTTACTCCTCTCATACCGACGCAAGCCCAACCCATGCCCAAGGGCCCCCAGCGTGACTCCAGAGCCCACTGGTACCAGAAAAGTGGCAGGTCCCAACAGTCAAGAATCTGGAATGGCTGACATGTGGAACACTTTGTAAACAGGCCGAAGGAGTGCAGTCTCTTGAAGGGAACAAGGTACCAGCCTTTGTCCTGGGGCATGGAACCAGATAACAGCCTTAGGATATGCAGTTAGTAAAAACAGAGCCCCCAGCTATTGACTGGGGTCTAGGGCAAGATCAAGTTTTATGGACTGTGGCATTAGGGTAACTAGTTGGAACCTAAGAGTGGGGCCACGTTTCCGTAGGGCTGACCTCAGTGGGGTTGGGGATGTGGAAGGAGGAGAAAGGGCTACATTCTAGTGGGAGTGGGGTCAGTGAGGACATTTAGCCCGTGTCTCCGAGAACGTTGTGCTCTGTGTCCGGTGGTATCAAAGGAGAGTGGGGGTGTCACATGAAGCCCAGAACTCAGCTCTTGGCTCTGGAGCTCATCTCTGAGGGTGTGAAAGACTCCAGGTCAACCTGAAGAAAGGAAAGGTAGAGGAAGGGAGAGAGGGTGAAGCAGAGGCTGTTTAAATATGGCCACAGTACTTCGGGATTGTTTTGGGGAGGGGGTTGTGCTGGGCTCTCATAAAGAGTAGCCAACGGGTCCAGTTATGGGGGTCTAGCAGTGGTCCCCTATTGCCAGGTCATGGACTAACGGAGTCAAAATATCCAGGGACCCATGTTAACAGTGTAGTTTTCTGGGTTTCAAACCTTGGGGATTCTGGTTCAGTCGGTCTAGAGTTCATTTTAACTGAGGGCTCTCAGAGTGATGTGCAGCCTGATTTCAGAGCCACTGGCTGGGAACAGACTTAAAGGAGGCAAAGGGGCTGGCAGCTCATTTGGAGTCAGTCCCATGTTTTCCTTTAGAACTCATTTAAGCCATGAACGACCTCAATAAGAAAGCCAATGATAGGTAAAGCAGGGCACGATTCTAAGACACATTAGGTGTTTCTAGCTGTTATACTTCCTTTTCTCTGTATCATCCCTTTTTGGGTATCCTAGTGCTCATTCTCCTGCTTTGATGTAGTGGTTTTCAAACTTTAAAATGCAAAAGGATCCCCCCACCTCCTCAGAGAGCTTGAGTAAACACACGTGCCTGGCCCTCATCCCCACAGTTTCAGAGTAAGTGGGTCTGGGCTGGAGGAGGGCTTGATTATTGCACTTCTAACAACTTTCCAAGTGATGCTGATGCTCCTGGTCCAGGGAACACACTTTGAGAAACACTGATCCAGTGGAACAAAAGGTAGAACATACACAAAGAATGAGAAGAAGGGGTAGAAGAAATATTTGAAGTAATAACGACCAAGAATTTTCCAAAACTAATGACAGATACCAAACCACAGATCCAGGAAGCTCATAATAGGTAGGATAAGTATCAAAAAATGTACACCTCTGTGTATTATATTTAATATGCAGAAAATCAAATATAAAGAGAAAATATTGAAAAATGCCAGAGAGTGTAAATACCTTCTTATAGAAGAACAAGGATAAGAGTTCAAATGGAGTTGTCCGAAATCACACAAACAAGAGGAAGGCAGTGTCACCCTTAAAGTGTTGAAAGAAAACAACCTCACCAACCTCGAATTCTATATCCAGTGAAATCATCCTTCACAAGCGAAGGAAAAATAAAGGCTTTCTTCGACAAAAGCTGAGGGAATTCATGGCCGGTGACTTGCTCCAAAAGAGATGTTAAAAGATATTCTCAGAGAGAAGGAAAATGATAAGTCAGAAATTGGATCTATAACAAGAATGAACGAGCATCAGAGAAGGAAGAAGTGCAGGTAAAATAAAGTCTTTTATTTTTCTTATTCTCAATTGATCCAACAGATAAGTTTTCAAAGCAATACTAGTGAAAAGGCCTTGGGTGGTTATAGTGTATGACTAAATGAAATGAATGCAGCTATGTTTTAAGAGATAGAGGAGGAATGGGGGAATCTCTGTTAGAAGTACTGAAGTACTTAATGCTACCTGTGAAATGATATAGTGATATTTGAAAGTAGATTTACATGAATTATAAACGTGTATTGCGAAATACAGGGAAGCCACTAAAAGGAATTTTTTTAAAGAAATACAACTGACATGCTAAAAGAGGAGAAAGAACGGTATCATACAAAATAGTTAAAACTGAAATGGCAGAAAAAGAAGGGCAGGCAAAACGAGAAACAAGAACATGAGCAAAAATTAGCAAACAGTTAAAAAAAGTGACAGATATTAATCCAGCTACATCAATAATCACTTTAAATATAAATGGCCTACATATATGAATTGAAATACAGAGAATGGGGGCGTCTGGGTGGCTCAGTTGGTTAAGCAACCAGCTTCAGCTCAGGTCATGATCTCACGGTTCGTGAGTTTGAGTCCCATGTTGGGCTCTGTGTTGACAGCTCGGAGCCTGGAGCCTGCTTCAGATTCTGTGTCTTCCTGTCTCTGCCCCTGCCCCGCTTGCACTCTCTCTCTCTCAAAAATAAAATAAAATAAAACATAAAAAAATACTGAGAATGTCAGAGCAGATACAAAAAAAAAATGCAAGGCCCAACTCTATCATCTACAAAAATATGCACTACAAAAACTCACTTTATATATAAAGACACAGATAGGTTAAAAGTAAAGGGATGGAGAACCATTGCTCTGGTAAGATTGGTTCTTAGGAAAGAGTATCAGGAGTTTACACTTTTAGTGGATTTGTTAGTGTTCCTTTTCATAGGATTTTTTTCAGTTTAAGCTTCTTTTGAAATGAAAGGACTCGTTAGCTGTTACAGGAATTTAAGGAGGAAAAAGATAGGTGACCTCCTTGGAACTCTTGAAATGGCCAAATCAAATGCCAAGGCGGAATAGGTCAGGTTGTGTCTTATTTATACACTCACAGTTAGTTATCACAGAGGAGAAGCTAATGGCCAGGTGATCTGGACTCTCCTACATCTGCCAGAGAAATAGTTTTGCCAAAAGAGCTTCATTCTGAAAGCTAGTTCCTAAGCAGCCTTGGTTTTTGTTTGCATTCCTAGAAGCCTTCCAGATGGGCCAGAGTGAGAAAACACAGGTCAGTACACATCATGCAGCTGAGAGCAGAAGGCAAGCTGGGAGCTATCGACAGCTGGAGGGAGAGAACTCACGGTGGCCATTTTGGATTTGGGTTGTTGGAACTATTTCTGAGAAGGGCGCTTCTGACTTTGTCTCTCCAATGCACCAACAACTAAATGGACAAGAAAACATATAATTGGTTGGTCTGTGACATTTGGTATGAAATATTTGATTGATGCTTTGTATTGATGCTCAGATGCTAGGTATTCTGGTATTTCAACAGGTGAATAGTGATGCATTTATGTTACAGATTGGCAAATAATGAGCTGAGGAATATTAATGTTATGCAATATCAAGAGATGCTCTATGCAGTGTGCTGAGTATGTATGTGTCGTGAGAAGGGAACGTGGGGAAAGCCAGGTTCTGAACCAGGTTAAATAAAGTGAACAGACTCCTGTTATGAACCTTTAATATGGGCAAATGTGCAACGGGGGTCTTTACAGACAAGGTGGGGAGCTACACTGCGGTGTGCAATATCTCCCAAACTTATTTGAAGGAGCTCTTTTTCTCCCCCATACAATGCCTGTATCGGTGTCAAACAATCTCCAATGTGTCATTTAAACAAAGTAAGGTTTCTATTTTAAGTGAAAGAAATCCAAAAGTATTTAGTCCTAGTGAATATGACCCCATGGTATCATCTGGCATCCAGGCTTTTTTTTTTTTTTTTTTTTTAATTTAATCTCTCTGCTCTTAGCTCATTATTTCCACCCTGAATGTCACTACACAGTTCCAGGTGACCAATGATGTACTGGCCATCACAGCCTTGATCCAGGCAGGAAGTTGGGGGAGAGGTGAAGGGCATAAAGGCTGTGTCCCCTTGGTGAGTGAGCATCTCCTCCTTAAGGAGATTTCCTGGAAGTTCCTTACCATGACTTCCATTGGCATCTCTTTGGTCACATCTTCCTAACAAGGAGGCTGGGAAATAGAAATCTAGAGCTGGGCACGTGGCTAAAGTTTTATAACAGAAGAAGAAAGAATATTAAGTAGACACATAGTCTCTGCACAAACATCCAATTGAACATTCCTCAGGCCAAGTTTGGGAAATGTTGATATGTGTTATTTTCCCACTGGTCTCCTATATTTTGTCTTTTCACATACTACATGGCCTTGGTTGCTTGCTCTGTCTCTGTGTCTCTCTCTTCATCTCTGTGTACCTTTGTCTCTCTCACATACATATATACAGAAATACAAATATATGTCTTAGATTATCCATAGAATATAAAGACTGATAGGATATTAGAGCAGGAAGAAATTTTAGATATTGTCTAGCTCAGTGGCTCTCAACCCCCGTTGCACATTAGTCTCTTGGGGGAACTTATAAAAATATTTATTCTAGAGCCCTCCCAGTTAGAACTGTAATCTTTGGGGGGTAATGGCCAGTTAGTCATCTCAGTTTCTTTCCTAAAATTTCTCAGTTGATTATAATCTGCAGCCAGGGCTGAAAGCCTCTGGTCTAGACAAACTTCATTATTTTATAGGGAAACTACCTGTGAAATTATCTCTTTCATGTCTGCTTTCCCCAGTAGACTACAAAACCTATGAGAGCAGAAATAGTACTTATTATGTAGTCACAGTATTCATCCCCAGTGCTTAGCACAACACTGGCACAAAGCTGAATGAATGAATGAATGAATGAATGAGTAAACCAAGGCCCCCAGAGGGGAAGGTCCTCATGCAAGGTCATACAGCAAAAACACATACAACCGAACTGAGATTAGAACCTTTGTGTCTTGACTCCCTGTTCAGGGCTCCTTCAGTTAGCTCAAGATTTCATAGTGAAATGGCCAGATCTTGGATCACTTTACTCTAGAACTGATAAATGTGTTCCTAGAGCCTTGTATGCTATTGTCATTATTTGTGAGTCTTAGGTTAAGAACTGTATCTTACTTCTTCAAGCATCACCAGCCACCCACCATACCTAGCTCACAAGAAATGACTGATGATAACAGCTAACTGGTGGGGGGTGGGGAGGGGGAATGTGGGGGGAGAAAAAAAAAAGGCCCATGCAAGTTCAGTCCATCAGAACATCATCTTCCACTTTTCTGTCTTCAGCCTTCTCCTACTATGCATGGCCTAAACCCAGATTCTGCCTCTTCTCTGGCCAATTGCTCACTTTGAATCACCCGTCTTGTTGAAAGTTTTTGAAAACGAATTTACAGGAAAGTTAAGAATTGATAAGATTTGATGAAATACACCTTCTTGGTATGTCTGCGTATTCATTAGGGACGGGGTCCTGATCCAAAAGAAGAAAATTCCAATTGCAAAATTTTAAGTATAAGAAAACAGAACTCCTAAGGGACTATTTGGGGTATAAGCAGAGTGGCCTTCCTGGAGGGGTATAATCCAGTCAATCAGAGGAAGGTAGCTAGATGTTCATCTTTGAGAAGGGCAACTGGAAGTCACCCCTGCGGGGCCAAGTTCTTGAGTTTTGCCTTAGTTAGAGGTCTTCTTGGAACATAGGGTTCTCATTTGGCCCTATTGTGAGTGGTGTAAGAGACCAGAAGCTTCCCTGGGATGCTGTGGGAGCTGGGCCAGAGGGGATCTGACCCATTCTGGTCTAGGAGGAAGGGAATGCATATTCAGTGCCTGAGGTGGAGCTCTTAATAAATGTTAACTCTCTTCTCTCCGCAGGGATTGACTGCTCAGCCAGCAGCCCCAGAGGGAACAATTAGGTTGTTTATCCAAACCTCAGCCACTTTGCTATGTAATTGATTTTTCATTGAGTGTATTTAGGAAATGGTTATTTACATGAATACAGGCACACCAGGGACAGAGCTGCATCTGATCTGTAGGAAATGGGAGGGAATCTAGATCAAAGTGTGGAATCTAGAGGGAGGGAGGGTGGGCTATGGAGGCAGACAACCTACGCTGAGATTCTGACTCTGCTACTGACTGTACATATTAGGGCAAATTATTAGCCCTCTGAGTTTTGATTTCCTCATTTGAAAAGGGGGTTAGTAAATTTACTTCCTAATAGGATATCTCTGAAGATTAAGTTAATGCTAGGGGCTGGGCTTGTTATATCCTGTATATTAGTAAGAAGCCCTTATGGTTATTAGCATTACTACTATCACTACAGCTCATGCTAGGGAAGTTTACCTCCCTTCCCTTAGTCTATCAGCCCGTAGCCCTAGCTCAGCGCTTGGCCTAATCTTCCCCAACACCTTCCCTGACTGCTCCTGTCCTTATCTAGTTACTTCCAGCTTCAGTGAACGGCTGAGATCTCACCATATTGTAAGCCTCAGTTATAAGTAACAGAGTTTTATTTTCTTTTGTCCTATCTAGACCGGGGATTGGCCCACTATGGTCTACTGGCCAAATCTGGTCCACCCACTGTTTTTGCATGACCTGTGAGCTAAGAACAGTTTTCAAATTTTTAAGTGGTTGGGAAAAAAAAAAAAAAAAAGAATGCTTCATGACACACGAAAGAAAGGATATTTTGTGATACACGAAAATGACTTGAAATTCAAGTCTTAGTATCTATAAATAAAGTTTTATTGGAACACAGTCACAGCCATTTGTTGGTATATTCTCTACAGCTGCCTTCAGGCGGCAATGGCAAAGCTGAGTAGTTACAGCAGAGACTGTAACCAAATATTTACTATCTGGTCCTTTACAGGGAATCTGTGGAGCCCTAAACTAGAAGCTTCTTTCATGCGGGCAGTGTGTGCCATTCTTGTCTGAATTCCTGAGGAGCATCACTTATACAGCATAAACCTTGTGGGTGGCTGACTGCAACCATTCAATCTTGCCACAAGGGGGCTCTTGTCCCTCATTCCTCTGCTCCCCTGCTGGGGCGTGGTTGGAAGATTATTTGTACAGCAGGTGTGTGTGAGGAGTTGTCCCCCCTGGTGGCTATGAAGTCCTTAGAGGCAGAGAGACCAGTTCCTCTTGTAGCCAAGAGAAGGAAATGAGTTGTTCCCCTTAGTATGTTCCTCAAAGTATGAGGGAACGAACTACACCAATATGCACTGGCCACTTTGCACGCTTGATTTCATTTAATGCTCATTCATTTAGTCAACAAATTTTTATCAAGTGCCTCCCACGGGCCAAGCACTGTTCTAGGCATGGAAATGCAACCGGAGCAAAACAGGCAAAGCCTTCTTTCTGCTATCATAGGGTTTACTTTCTATATCAGAGTGGGGTAGGCATTCCAAAACAGTAAGTAAACACAAGATCCTGAGATACACTGCATGTTAGATGGGATTAAATGGGAGAAGTAAAGCAGGAATGAGGGACAGCCCTCACCAGCCTTTTTATTTTACATGGGGAGAATGTAGGAATTTGAAATAGGGACGTCAGAGGGGCCTCTTTGAAACGGTGACTTGAGCAAAGACCGAGGGTGTGAACCACGTGGACGTTTGGGGAGAAGGATGTTCCAGGCAGTGGCAACAGCAAGTGAAAGGCCCCGAGGCAGGAGAGGACTGGGTGTGTCCAAGGAGACAGGAAGAGTGGTGTGGCCAGAGCCGGGACAGGCAAGAGAAAGTAGTAGTAGAAGAAGGTAGAGCAATAATGGGGGAGGGGGACAAGGGAAGGAGATACATCATGAAAAGCTTTACATGTCACTGTAAGGGCTTCAGCTTTTACTTTGAGGTGGGAATCACTTAAGTGTTTTGAACACAAGATTGAGGATATCTGATTTTTATTTTATTTTATTTTATTTTATCTTATTATTTTTTAAATAAAGTTTTAGAAAAACGTTTACTTATTTATTTTGAGAAAGATAGAGGTAGATCATGAGCAGGCAAGGGGCAGAGAGTGAGAGGAGACAGAGATTCCCAAGCAGGCTCCTTGCTGTCAGCACAGAGCCCAATGGAGGGCTTGAAGCCACGAACCTAAGCCGAAATCTTAAGAGTCAGATGCTTAACTGACTGAGCCACCCCAGCGCCCCTGAATTTTATTTTAAAGCAAGAGCTGTGTGAGGTAGGTGTTACTTGTCTTCATTCCACAGAGAAGCAAATCGGAATCCAGAAGGGCCAGGCGGTGCATGGTTACAGAGGTAGTAAGAGGCGGAGGTAGGATCTGAACATAGGCTTAGCCAGTCTCTGCACTATCCTTTCTGCCTGGCCGGCTGGCACGGAACAGAGCCTCCATAGCCCCTTATTATATGGATTTAGAGGAACTTCCGGGCTTGGGCCATGGAACGAGATGTACCATCACACACACCGCCCCATCTGCCGGTTCTGCCTCGGTGCTGGAAAAGGCTGGGACCACCATCCAGGGGCCGTCCAGCTGGGCCTTCTGTTTTCTTTAAACTTGTACCAGCCACGCAGTGGCCGAATGATAAACATTAATCAAAGTATGAGGGAACGACTTAATTAGCTCCTAATGGTCACATACTGCCAATTAAACACCTTGATGACTAGTTTGCTCTGGAGCTTAATTAGGTATTTCTAAATAAATCTAGCCCTGTGCTACCACCTGTCAGGTTAGGAGCCAAATCTTTTCTTGGATGTGCCCTCTCGTACACATCCAAGTGGGAGTAGGAAGGCTGGTTTGCACGGAGGAGCGGAATCAGGGATGGGCATCTGTCAAGATTATTTTGTGGTCCTGTTGTGCGTTTTAAACTTGGGGAAAATCACCCAGCAGGTGATATCTCACTCCCTGCCCTGCCTGCACGACTCACTGTGCTGCAATACTTCTGGCAACAGGAACCTTTAGCTCAAGGGCCCTCGAGAGAGGAAAGTTGTGTGTGCGTGTGACCTTTCCCTTCTGCGGGTAATGTGAAGTCTCACTCTGGGTCTGCTGCCTAAATACAGGGTGTCTTCTTAATGACTGTGGAATCGCGTTGTCATGAATGAGGAGCCAGAGTTCAGCGGCACCACAGGGGAGAAGGTTTAGGCTTCCGCAAACTCGGTTAAGTGTAAACAGAACCAGAAACTGCTGAGACACCAGACCGTGTCCATCGATGGAGAGGTCATGCCCGGGGGTGCGTGGTGCTGGTCGCTGATGTGAGCACTGAGGGAGGCATAGCATTTTCCAAGGAACACGGACAAGTGCCGACATTTCCCAGGGATGCTGACCGGCTTGGGAAAAGGGCCTGGAAATGCAATCACTTAAGGAATGGATGAGAAAAATGAGAATCCCTTGGCAATTCTTGGACCCGAGTGCTGCATATTCAGTTTATGAAGAGCTGCCTTCATCAGAGGGCACAAGCGTATTGCATATTGCTCCGCAGGGCAGGGCAAGCGTCCAGGGGGAACAGTACCACAGCCCACATCTTTAACCATTATACTTTCTGGAGAGAAGTGCAGAGGTTAGCTGGGTTTGCAACCTTTACCACTCCTCCTCCCCGTAGCTGGGGTCATTTCTTCTCAACCCGTAGGCTATGGCAACTTTATTTATTTATTTATAAATTTATTTGTTTATTTTTGAGACAGACAGAGAGAGAGAGAGACAGAGAGAGAGAGAGAGAGAGAGAGAGAGAGAATCCCAAGCAGGCTCCATGCAGAGCCTGGACGTGGGGCTGGATCCCATTACCTGAGCAGAAACCAAGAGTCGGATGCTCAACCCACTGAGCCACCCAGGCGCCCCTATGTCAGCTTTAAAACATGACTGCAAAGATCTGTGACACTTCACTTATCAAGAGGCGGGGTCTGTGCCCTTGGTCCTTGAATCTAGGCTCTGTGACTCCTTCACCAATAGATTATAGGGGAAGTTGCCCCATGCTAGCTTCTGGGCCCAACATTCAGAAACTGGCAACTTCCTCTCTCTTGGGTTGCTCACTCTTGGAAGCCGGCCACCACACTGTAAAGAAGTGGGCAGGCATTTAGGTGTTTGAGCTGGCGGTTCCAGCTGAGGTCCCAGCCGACAGCCAGCATCAACCACTAGATGCACTGAGCGAGCCTTCAAATGGCTCTTTGCACACAGTGGAGATGGACCGTCCCCACCACACCCTGCCCAAGCTGCACATTTGTGAGCAAAATACATTGTTGTTTTCAGCCCTACATTGGAGGTGGCTTGTTAGATAACAGGAACCCAGGCCAAGGCAGGCTCCCAATCCTCAGAACCAGTCCTAACTTGAATGGCAGAGAGTTCTGCCTCCGCCATGAGTCGGGTCAGCCTGACCTTGGTTCCCCACCTGCGCATAGGAGTGACTCAGAGCATCTGCCGGATGAAAGAATGAGGATAGATTCCAGTCGTGAAAACCGAACTTCTGCTTTATCCTGACCTGCATTCTTCCTCTAGTCGCCTTGGTGTATTTTTCAGCCTTGATTGTGACAATCGTGTCCATTTACTAAATACAGTTTGCAGGTGTTCCAAATATCTAAAAAAACTAAGTTTGGAGCTGCTCTGGGTGCTGCCAGCCTGGTCCCCCTTCCCCACCCTGCAGAGTCCCTGAGGAGCTCGTGGAAACCGATGGCCTCATTCATCCGTGTAATCTTTGGTCCTGCTCCTGAGTTCTGTCCTGACCACTTCGCTCTCCCAAAGGTAACACCAGGGCTTAAACCGAGCCGTGGTAAGTGGTAGCAGAGGTCTCGTTGCGTGCCGAGAGTCCCGGTGAGCTTTCTGAGAAGTGAAGGTTCATGTCTCAGCAGGCGAAAGAGGAAATGAAGCAGGCCCTCCATTTGGGGGCAGAGAGGCTGGGCTGGCTGTGGCCTGCCTTGAGGGAAGGGCAGGGGCCAGAGGGATTCTGTGCAGGTGGACGATGGCGGTACTTAGGGAAGGGGGTCAGGAGCACTGGTGTTTGGGCTGAAGCTGAGACAGTAGGAGCTGAGACAGTAGGAGCTGTGACCCCCGCGGAAAGCTGAGGGCTCTCCACATCCAGGTGGGAGGTATTTCAGTGGGAACGTGGGTTTGGAAGGTGGAACGTGAGGCCCGAAGGTACACGGTGGCACAATCCACGCTGTCTGGGCCCACTCGATACTGGCGGCTGGGCCTGGGGGTCGACTCGGCATTGAGGCTGAGGTGGGGGAGAGCAGAGGGGTGCCAAGAAATGAGGTCGGAAGGCATAAAGATGTTGCAGAGAGACAGCGAATGAGGCAGGCCAGGGAAAGGAGGACCGGAAAAGGGCAGAGTCCGGGGCTCAGAGAAAGGCACTGGGTAAAGAAGTTTGCTCCCATTGAAAGGGCCTGAAGGATAGACACAGGGGAAGGAGAAGGTGGGAGGACTCCAGTGAAGGCACCAGGCTTGCTGACGATTCTGAGGAAAGCGCTCAGTTTCCTCCTGAACTATGGTGGTTGGGGGGTGGCGGGGAAGGGTGTCTGTTTCTTCTTCAGCAAATTGGGGTCATGTAGAAGGAAGAGCACACTGTTTAGGGGTTAGGTGGTCTAGCTTCATGTTGGACTTTGCCACTGGTGAGTGACTCCAATAGTCTGGGCTTTCATTTCTCCATCGACAACATGACAGAGTTGTCTGTTACTGGCTGCCACGTCCCTTGAAGTTCTGGAAATTCTGTTGCTCAGTCCAATGAACACAGGTGGGTCCGGCACAGTGCTGGGCTCTGGAGGTGCAGGTGACAGGTGCCCTGCCTTCAGGGGGCTCACACTGGGGTGGGGAAAGGGGACCTCCCTACGGGAGGCTGGGCTGCAACATGAAGGGGGATGAGAGCACTGGTTCTGTTACTAGGCTCAGCTCGAGGTTACGGTGAGATAGCAGAGAAGAACAGAACCCCCCCACCCCCCACCCCCAAATGGGGACTGAAGGAAGAATTGATTGGTCTGGAGGCAAAAGAAGGAGGTCCGGGAGGATGTGTTGAAGTTTCACAGCAGAGTCACGAAGCGGGCAGATGAACATTGTGTGAACTTGGCCTAATCTGTACCATGGCCTGCTCAAGATGGTCCGGGCCCTGCGCTGAGCCAAGGGGTGTGGGAAGGCTGTACCCCGGGGCCCTCCTCCAGGAACATGGAGAAGCGCTTAAATCCATTTCGTTCCTTTGAGGCATACATTTATTTTTCAAAAGTATTTATTTTCAATGCTAAGTGAATTAAGCCAGGGGAAGACACATGATTTCACTGATATGTGGAATTTAAGAAACAAAACAAATGAACAAGGGTAAAAAGAAGAGACAAACCAAAAACAGACTCTTCAATATAGAGAACAAACAGATGGTTACCAGGGGGAGGCAGTGGGGGATGGGTGAAATAGGTGATGGGAATCAGGGGTGCACTCGTCCTAATGGGTACCGGATGATGTAAGGAACTGGGGGGGGGGGTCACTACATTGTACATCTGAAGCTAATATAGCACAGTATGTTACCTACGCTGGAATTAAAAATAAAAGTATTTTCATTTTAGAAAAATGAGAACATTCAAAAACCAAATGAGTCATAAGGTTAGCAGATAGTTAATATAGTATATATCCTAGATCTCTCTCTCTCTCTCTCTCTCTCTCTCAACACACAAACGTACACACAATTTTATTAGACTATTTTGTGCTTTTCCCACTTGGCATTGTGTATGAACGTCTCTCCTTGTTGATGAATATAGATCACATTGACAGTAGACACCCAAGACTCCAAGATGGCATCAGTCATGCCAGTGAAGAAGAAACTCAAGTTGCCAAACCAAGGGAGCTGCCAACCTGGTTACTGATGTGGAATTTCACCCCTAACGGCATTGTTGGAGCATTTCAAAGAGGTTACTTACCACCGGTCTCACAACCAGTACGTCAGTGTGAACAAAGGGAGCATTGCTGGCGTTTCTATGGTGCCGGCGGACCTGCCTTTCAACTACTACTTTCCTTACACAGAACTCACGTGTGCACAGCCACGCACAGACCACCGCAGAGAGTGTGGAGGGTGCACTCTGTAATCCTGACCATCTTTGCTTAGCACCCCTGAATCCTTTCATATCCTAATTGAGAATTAACACCCAATAAAGAAATACTGGCTAAAAAATATACATATCAACATCATCATTTTTTTTAGCTTTTTTTTTTTTTAAGAGAGAGAGAGCACATGCAAGCCGTGGAGAGGGGTGGAGGGAGAGGGAGAGAGAGAGAGAGAGAGAGAGAGGGAGGGAGAGAGAGAGAGAGAGAGAGAGAGAGAATTTTAAGCAGGCTCCACGGCCAGCACAGAGCCTGATGTGGGGCTCCATCTCAAGACCCTGAGATCATGACCTGAGCCGAAATCAAGAGTTGGACGCTTAAACAACTCAGTCACCCAGGTGCCCCCAAATCATCATTTTTAATGGCCTCATAGTAATTTTGTGTGACTATAACAACTTATTAAACAATTCCTATTGTTTGAACTTGAAGTTTCTTTCCTTTGCTATAAAAACAGTGTTTTGATGAAAATAGTCTTATGCACAGATCTTTGCACATTTACCTAATTACTTCCTTGAATGTGATGATCTTTATAGCTTTTGGTGCATACGACTGTGTTACTCTCCGGAAGATTTGTTCCCCCTTATTCCCAACAGGGGCGTGTAGATGTCCATTTCCCGCCCTCTTGACAACATCAGGCATTGTGATTCTTTTTCATCTTTACCATCTGAAAAGTAAAAAGGGCATACCATTGTTTTAAGTCACATTTCTTTTATTACCGTGGAGGTTGAACATTGGTTATGTTTTTTAGTGTTATTTGTCTTTCTTTCATGATTGGCTTTTTCATATCATCTTGCGGTCTGCCCCCCGCGGTGTGTGTATTAGTTTCTCAGGGCTGTCGTGACAAATGACTTCAAACTATGTGGGTTAAAACAACAGAAATTTATTCTCTCATAGTTCTGGAGAGAAATTAAAGCTTCGGCAGGGCCACACTCTCCCTGAAGCCTCTAAGGGAGAATCCTTCCTCCTCTTCCTGGCTTTTGGTAGTTGCTAGCATCTCTTGGCATTCCCTGGAGTGTAGTTGCCTTAGTCCAGTTTCTGCTTCTGTCTTCTTTCTGTGCTTGTCTGTGTGTTTCCAGATCTTCCTCTCCGAAGGACACCAATCACTGGATTAGGACCCACCAGAATCCAGTGTGACCTCATCTCAGCCGGAGATGAACATCTGCAAAGGCTCTAATCCAGAAAAGGTCACATTTGCAGGTACTGAGGGGGTTAGAACTGAACATAACGTTTTTTTTCCCCCCCAGGGGCAAGGAGACACAATTTAACCTACAGCGTGCTTGTCTTTTCCTTATTAATTTGTAACAGCTTTAGGCTTCTAGCTCCTCTGACTGGCACCTGTCCCTCTGCTTGGTCAGAGAGTGACAGAGATTTGATTGGACTTGAGGAAGGAAGGCTCATATGCCTAGCTACCTTGTGGGTCATGAGACCTGTGGGGGTCAGGAACTCCTGCACTAACCCTTTCTTCCCAGAGAAGGTAAGTGATGGAGGAAGAGAGAAAGGAGTTATCTTCCTGGTGCCGCTGGGAGGGACTATGGGCAGCTCTTCTGGTAGCAGGTCTTGAGGCCAGTTGGTCAGGTGGAAGATGATCAGGGAGGGAAAGAGCCACCAGTGGCAGTCTGTGAATCAAAACTACGTGAATGAATGACCACTGGGGTTGGGAAGGGTGTGAGCTGGCTTTACGAGGACTTTCTGGGCTTATATGAGGCTGTTTGGCTGATATTGGTTTATTAAAAGCATGATTTGGCTTTTATCCTGCTTCTCAAGTACTCAAGAATTCCAGTAGCAGCTGAGCCCTGGACGTACAGTTGCCTTGCACCTGAATGGATCATCCTTATCATAAGAGGCAGAGTTATTATAGGCTAAGAAGACTCTGCTCTCCCAGACCTCTGCAGGGGTCTTTCCTAGAGAAGTAAGAGGATGGAGAACAATTAGCTCCAGTTTCCAGGTTGGTCCAGTGGTGAGTTTCAACGGGACCCAAATCCAGATTCTTCCTTTCTATAGCCTCACCTGTGAGGAGTGGCTCTGCAGAGTAAAGAGCAAGGCAAAGCTCCCGAGAGGCTCTGGGTCTCTGAGAGTGGGGAGTCCCTTGTTCCAAGATGGTGAGGGGACAGTGTGCCAGTGAATCTGTTCCTCCAATGAGCCCGAAGAAACAAGCCGTGTGGCCAGCTCAACTTTATTTTTAAATATTATTTATTTATTGGAAGAGTGCAAGTAGGGGAGGGGCAGAGAGAGGGGGACAGAGGATCTGAGGCCGGCTCTGTGCCGACAGGCTGACATCAGCCATCCTGATGTGGTGCTCGGACTCACGAGTTGTGAGATCATGACCTGAGCCGAAGTCGGCTGCTCAACCGACTGAGCCACCCAAGTGCCCCCCAACTTTTATCTTTCAGTGGGGTGGGAAGTGGTGAGTGGTGTCGGGGCCAGCAGAGGTAGTGAGGGTGGAGAAAAGTGAGGCATGCCCAACCCTATACACTTCTGCTCGGGGAAGAATGTGAGCATCAATCCTACCAATGGAAAAGTGCTGGGGTAGGAAACTCTTGAATTTAGGAGAAAATACAGACCTGGGTTTCAATCCCAGCTCTGCAATTTACTAGCCGAGTAGCATGAGTTAATTCTCTTCATCTCTTTGAGTTTCAGCTTCTTATTTTATTTTTTTTTTTTTGTAAAAGTAAGATCATATTTTGGTAAGTTGTTTACCAGATACAATAAAGTAGTGATGAGGAAAAGCCCATTACAGGGTCTGGCATATATCTTACACCCTGTACAAAAAAAAAATCAACTCAAAATGGAATAGACTTGAATGTAAGACCAGAAACCACAAAATTCCCAGAAGAAAACATAGGCAGGAAACTCTCGGACATCAGCCTTAGCAACATTTTTATGGATGTGTCTCCCCAGGCAACAAAAACAAAAGCAAAAGCAAACAGTTGGAACCAGATCAAACTAAAATGCTTTTGCACAGTGAAGGAAACTACCAACAATATAAAAAGGCAAACTACTGAATGGGAGAAGATATTTGCAAATCATATATCCAATAAGTGGTTAAATATCCAAAATATATAAGGAACTCATACAACTGAAGAACAAAAAGCAAAGGATCCACTCAAAAATGGGCAGTGGATCTGACTAGACATTTTTCCAGAGAAGACATACAGATGGTCAACAGACCAATACATACAGATGCTCAATACTGATTCTAATACTGATATATACAGATTCTCAACAACACCAATCATCAGGGAAATAAAAATCAAAACCACAATGAACTATCACTGTACACCTGTCAGAATGGCTAGCAGCAAAAAGACAAGAAGTAAGAAGTGTCAATGAGGATGTGGAGAAAAGAAAACCTTGGTGCATTGTTGGTGGGAATGTAAATTGGCACAGCAACTATAGAAAACAGTACAGAGTTTCCTCCCAAATTTAAAAATAGAGCACTGGGTGTTGTATGGAAACCAACTTGACAATAAGTTATATTTAAATCAATCAATCAATCAATCAATCAATCAATAAAAATAGAGCTACCATATGAGGGGCGCCTGGGTGGCTCAGTCGGTTAAACACCTGACTTTGGCTCAGGTCATGATCCCGCAGTTTGTGGGTTCAAGCCCCACTTCAGACTCTGCGCTGACAGTTTGGAGCCTGCTTGGAGTTCTCTCTCTCCCTCTCTCTCTACCCTGCTCATGCTCTCTCTCTCAAAAATCAATTTAAAAAATTAAAAGAAAAATGGAGCTACCATCTGACCCAGCAAGCCACTGCTGAGCATCTATCTGAAGAAGACACGAACACTACTTCAAAAAGACAGATGTTAATTGCAGCATTATTTACAATAGCAAAGGTATGGAAACAATGTAAGTGTCCATCGAAGTGGATAAAGAAGATGTGGTATGTATACACACACACACACACACACACACACACAGTATATTATTCAGCCATAAAAAGGAATGAAATCTTGTCATTTGCGACATGGGTGGATCTGGAGTGTATTACAGTCAGTAAAATAAGACAGAGAAAGACAAATACCATGTGATTTCACTTACATGTGGAATAAAAACAAACAAACAAAACAAAATAAAATTCAGACCCATAGATACAGAGAATAGATTAGTGGTTGCCAGAGGGTAGGCATTTGGGAGTCGGGAAGGGGATTAAGAAGTGCAAAATTCCAGGGGCGCCTGGGTGGCTCCGTCAGTTAAGCGTCCGACTTCAGCTCAGGTCATGATCTCATGGTTTATGAGTTTGAGCCCCATGTCGGGCTCTGTGCTACAGTTCGGAGCCTGGAGCCTGCTTTGGATTCTCTCTCTCTCTCTCTCTCTCTCTCTCTCTCCCTGTCCCTCCCCCATTTGTGCTCTGTCTCTCTCTCAAAAATAAATAAAATGTAAAAAAAAGAAGTACAAAATTCCAGTTATAAAATAAGTAAGTTGGGGCACCTGGGTGGTTCATTTGGTTAATCGTAGGACTCCTGATTTTGGATCAGGTCATGATCTCACGGTTTGTAGTTCAAGCCCTGTGTCGGGCTCTGTGCTGACATTATGGAGCCTGCTTAGGATTCTCTCTCTCTGCTCCTTCCCCACTCACACTCATGCTCCCTCTCTCTCTCTCTTTTGGAATAAATAAATAAACTTAAAAAAAATAAGTCATGAGAATGTAATGTACTGCATGGGGAATATGGTCAATAGCATTGTATTAACTTTGCACAGTGACAGATGGCAACTAGAAACTTATAGTGGTGACCATTTCCCAGCGTATACAAATGTCAAATCACTATGTTGTACACCTGAAACTAATACAATATTGTATATCAATTATATCTCTGTAATAAAAAATAAAGAATCAGTCTTTTGAAAGATTAGGCATTTTCGTCACCAGGGGGACTGAGATACCGCAAGGAATACTTTGGTCTTCTTCCCAGGGGTTCATAATTCCATAGACTGAGACTCTGGTTATGCGTATGGGGCAAGGGACATTACACTCTGTGTGATTGAATGTGTGATTCATTTGACACTGAGAATAAAACCGGGTTGAATAATAAGAAAATACAAGCCTCAGAGGATATGAGAG